GCGGCCGCACAAAATGGCGGCGGCGGTGGCGGCGGCGCCTGGTGCGGGCCCGCCTGACCCCGGCGCTTCCGTTTCTCCGCTCTTCGTCTGCAGGTGGCGATGGCAACGGGGCAGGTGCTGTTTCACCGTTTCTTCTACTCCAAGTCTTTCGTCAAACACAGTTTCGAGGTAAGCCCGGCGGGGGCGGGCGCGGAGGGAATTGCTCCATCCGGAAGCGGGCAGGAAGGGGTAGGAACCAGCTCTTTCCAGCAAGGGAGTGGTTAGCTGGGGCCTTTGTACCCCGTTCCCACCCACAAGGAAGTGCGGCCCTTAGAACGTGCTTGGAGAACTAGAAAATGGATCCCGAGTCCACGTGCGCTGTTACCGGGAACTGCATTTGCAGGCCCCCGAGCGGCTCTTGGGGGAGTTAGCTTGATCCTAGTCCAAAGCTAGGAACAGTTGAGCAATAAGACGCACGTAGCTGCTAAGGCCCGTGCTGTAAAAGTGTCGCCCTTGATTTTGTTTCGCCAAAAGCCCCGTTGTATCCTAGAGTTTCCCTTGAAAAGTAATTTTTGTTAGACTTTGGGCAGAGTTGTTTCCAGTTTAACTTTATACCTCGTTATAAGTTTTGTCCCCTCGTGGGTTCTTTCAGATTGTTGCCATGGCCTGTATTAATCTTGCGTCAAAAATCGAAGAAGCACCAAGAAGAATAAGAGATGTGATTAATGTATTCCACCACCTCCGCCAGTTAAGAGGAAAAAGGTAAGATTGGCCTATTGAACATAGTTTCTTGCTACTGCTGTTGTACACCAATCATCGAGTCAAAACACCTTTTTTTTTCCTTTTTTTCTTCCTCAAGTCAGTACGGATGCAAAAGCAAACTGGCATTAGGTGTTGAAATTCACATAGGAACACTGAAACTTAAACTTTAAGAAACCCTCAATTAACCAGCTATCTGAAGTTTGTAGAGGCAGTTGCATTTGTGGACAATCGTAGCAGTGCTGTGAAGCCAGTCCCTTGGCTTAAGATTAAACAAGAAAGGGAGTACGGTTGGCTCAAGTGGGAGTGTATTCTGTAAGTTCTTTTTCCCCTCCCCTCTCTGGAAAACTGAAGGCTGGACGTGAAAGTTCTGTAGTTCAAGTTAATATTGTGGCAAAGTTCCGTGTAGGTTGTTACTCTGCTTGGAGCCCCAGTTTCCCCATCAATTGAGGTTGGCTTTTGTTAGAGTACTTCTCAACATTGAACTACGATATATCGAATAATACCGGATCTGAAAGGACTGGAGGATGATAAAGTTTGAAGTCAAAGAGATTGAACAGGTATTTTGTTTTGGTTAGATAACAGTCTCAGTGAGTGGGTTAGAAAAATAACTCATTGAGTTGCTTTCAGATAGGGCTCTTTCTTTATCTGATCTTGTAAGAAAATACAGTCTGAAACAGTATCTTTAAGGTGTAGTGATAATCTGGTAACTATGTGGACCTCTGTGTTCATCTATGGCAGTACCAAAATTTGTTGCAGGACTCCCTGTTTGTTCTACAGGTGATCCTAAGACACGCTGATGGATAGTCATGGTGTAGATTAATTTCTGAGGAATTGTGATTAGTTTGAAAGGAAGTTAGCTGTGAAAAGTAAGTTGTTTTGGGAGCTGGGTGTTGCTTAGTCCAAATGAGTATCATATATAGTCTTCGTTGGTGGTAGGGAAGGTGGTAGCCAGATAAGCAGATAGGAAAGTGAGTTCAAAATGGGTAGCATGGTCAAAAATTACTGCCCAGGTTTTGTTTTTTATATAGCTTTTGTTCTTTTCTTCATGCTTTTTCAGCCCCATCTTAGTGTGTTCCCAGATACTTCTTTTGTTTGAAGACATTTTTAGTTTGTGAAGAAAGTAGAGAAATAGAATTTCAAACTGGTGTTTAGTATGTTCTGAGCTTTTATTTCTATTTAGATAGTGGCTGAAGTTTTTGTTTCTTTTAGGGTGTTTTTAAATGAAACACTGATAAAATAGAGAATTCTTATCTTTAGTCAAAGGACTCTGCTTTAAAAGGACATTTTCTAGTATATGAGTCATTGAGCCAATTATAATTACATTGTGGCATTTTCCTATGGGACTTGACTTTCCTTCCTTGATTGTCAGAATAGGATCATCTTAATTATAAAATTTCAGAATTCAAAATAATCCAATCTGACTGACTTGTATTGGATGTAACTGCATTTTTGGTCATCATTAAAGAGAAATTGATTTTGTTTCAATGTTACTAGTTTGATTATAGCATGAAATTCTTAAAGAAGTTAATTGCATGGAAGCCCCCCTTTTAAAAGCAGGATATAAGTGTTTCTATGCATTTTACAAGTTTACTCAGACATGTAACTTGTATATGTTATTAACTTCAACTCTTTTTTCCCTTGCAACCGACTATACAGCGACCAGCTACATTTACCAAAGCCTGGGTGATGTGGAGTGGTACATAGAGATGAAGCTGTCGTCATGGCAACAGTGAGTGAAGTATCGAAAATCCCCAAGGAGAAGCCAGTGTTCTGAGAATAGGTCACTGGAATCGGGGACTAACAGGTTGGCCACTGGTGAACCATTTAGAGAAAAAAACAAACAAACAAAAAACTCCTGTTTCTGGTTACAAGCTTTTTTCTTTGCTGTCCAAGTTATTAAAACTATAGCTTAGTAAGGTGTTTTGTGTTCTTTGCATAGTAGGTATTGTTAGAGTATTCATAAATGTTACACTCTGATTAGTTTGTCTTGAGAATTTTAGTACAATTTGAATGCTAACTAGGTTACTGTATGGCCTTTTCAACTACAGGGGGGTGCATGCATGTAGCCTTAAAGTCATTGTAGTCATGGCTACATAAAGATATAGTAATACCAGTGTCCAGTCCTCAATATGAGATATTGACTTGGGGCCCCCCCCATAGTTTTTTTTCATAGTTTGAGAGCTCTTCAGAATAGCTGAATTTAAAGGAAAAGAAAAGCTATTCATACCAGTAGTTTTCAGATACAATTTGCTATTTATATGTAACATATTCCCAGTGTGTTTAAGAGCTTTTTTCTTTAAAGATGTCTGTTCATATCTTTTAAGGTTTATGTTACAAGATAAACTTAAAGACTTAACTACTTTTATTGGTGACTGTTGATGCTATTTTCAATGTAAAAGTAAGCATTGGAAGGGTCAGGTCAGTATTGACAATTTATTTATCTGTAGTTTATTTCTGTGGTTCTGAGGTAACTCCAGTTTGACATTTAAGGAATGTTTCTGTTTACTTCAAAATAAGCATTAGAAATTTCTGTGTGTTGAGTAGGAATCCTGTCTCCCTACATGTGTATTATTAATTACCCATCTGGTTTATAGTGTGGTTCCTTATACTACCAGAGTATCAGTCCTTTGTAATACATGAGACTAACCATGCTTGAACCCCCTACTTCTAAAGTTTTGTCATTCGTATGCTGTGTTTCAGGCATACCATAGAAAGTAGCTATCATACAACCTTCTAATAAACAGACCAAGAGTTCCTAAAGATGGAAATGTGATTTCAGATCAGTTAATGAGCAAAGCCTGGTAATAAAGACTCTTCAGAGGTGGAGTTTGGTAGTTTTTTTTTTTTTTTTTTTTTTTAATCAGTCTGTCTTCTTGGG